TGTTTATTTATATATTCATCTGCCACATAAGTTAACAGTGGTGATCGATGTTTATAATGGAGCTGTCACTAAGACTCGTCCCACTCTTCAGGTCAGCGTCAAATACTTTCGATGCTTGGCCTAATTCGCGTACGTGAATTAGAGAAACCTGCAAAGAACTTTGTACCGGTAGTGTATTGTAACCTTAACAAGTGTTTGCCTTACCATGTTGATGCTTCTCAGTAAATTGAGGAGTAGTAGCATGATGCATTTGCAGGCATGTTCATAATCTCACAAATGTTCAAGTACACGACTAATATTATTGGAGTTGTCATAAAGCAAAGAAGTAAAATGTTCTTTCTCACATTTATGATGTATTTGTTTACTTGAAGTACCGTCCTAAAAGTGTGCGCTTAAATAAGTAAAATCTTTATTGGCAGTCTTTGGTAAACTTACATAATTGAGCTTGTGCACATAATATAACGCTCAGTCTATGTTCTGAGGGATCGGTGTGTTTGGACTGTAACAATTCTAATTTTTGTGATGCATGTATCGTTTAGTCTTCATCCTACACATTTTCAGCAACGAAATCGTCCAAGAGGTATATATTTTCGTAGGTATGTCATCGTACTTTTTATAAGCGTCCATGTAATGAGTAGGACTAATCGTTTATTTTATTTTGCATGTATGTATTGCTGATGGTAAGAAATTTAACAAATATAGGTCCATTGGTTCAGTGGCTTCTCATGGTGTTTGTTTCGTATCGAGATTTGTGAGCATTTGTTAATTATTTCAGAAGTAAGAAGTGGATGGCCGAACATACATAAACTTATTAACGTAATGATAGTGTAAACCTAATTCAAATCCGAGAAAACATATTTTTACTGACGAACGTAATATTATCAGCATGAAAGTCGTGCTGTAAAGTAGAAGTTTATTTGAACTTTATCACGTAATGTGACGTTAGATTCTTAAGACTGCCTTTGGAAAAGATATGTCACATTAAAGGAAATGCTACCAATACTTTTTCAGTACCTCACACTGTGTAACATCGAATGAGAGGGTGATAGTGAATAATGAATTGGAAAGAAGCTGTCTCTAGTATTCTAGTGGATACAAGGAAGGAATGGAATCGCAAAGCGTGTGGCAAAGCGCTGTCGTGATACGCACGTGAAGTGAATGAATAAATCCGTGGACTGGACGAAGTTGCAAGATTTTTTCTCCCGAAGTATCAGTTGACGAGTGAAACTGGTTCATATGTGTGTTACCGTCCACCAGGGTGTCGGCCACCTGCATGTTCCTGATGTTTAACTTCGCACTTCATGTCATACAGCGATCAGGAAATGTTACATACGTTGGGAAGTGTAGGTATCCGCTTTCATTCTCTAGCGGATTACCGTAAGTCACTTCTGATCTTTGCCAGCCATAATTCATATTCCTGTGTCACTCGACGCTGTACATTCTCTTAAGTTGATACAGTGTCTGTAAATAACACAGGAATCTATCTCAATGACGACCCGATCTTCGCTCTATGCTACTGGTGGCCACCAGTATCGACTGTCTTTACTCGTGTCTGCCACGGCTCTTCTCGCCCGAACCATGTTTCCTACATTGGAAACAGAAGGTCGCAGCGATTGGCTTAACACTGCCGGTGCTCATCCAGGGCGGCTCGGTTTCGATTATCTGCCCGGAGCCTGGCTGTTCTGATGTTTCGTAACTGTTTCAGTCCCTCTAGAGGAAAAATTTGGTTAATTACAGTCCACGACTGTAATCTAGAGACTTGCGAGGAGAGGAAGTGGGGTGAAGGAGGAAATCTCAGGATTACAGTCGTGGACTGTACTTATCATTTACTAAAATCTTCTCGGGCAATCAGCCGCGTTAGCTGGTTACCGTAGTAAACCGACGTTTCGGGAACAAACTCTGTCCTCACTTGCAGGGTTCTGATGTGACTGGATCCTTGAAGTCGTTAAGTTTCTCACGGTATCCAATGTATGGATAGTTAATCTAAGACCTACAGCTGTCTATCTCGAAGTGACTACATGTCCTGCTCCTTCAAGCTGCATAGGTACAACAAATGGATCTTAACTTAGATTGCAGCTGCGTAGGCCAATGAAACAGTTGAATCTGCAAGGGTTGTGGGATTAATTATTTTCCCTTATCTTTAATTCTTGCGTGCAGTTCACTCGTACTGCTTACCATTTTGCTTGGTGCGATGATGTTTTTGATACGTACTAAAGTCTACATAAATCAATCCAGCTTTTCATAACACGTGTTTGTTATTTCCTGTTCTACATCTTTTTTATACAAGTGTACTCTTATGTTGCACGTCAGACTCCAATAAAACGACATTAAAAGTAACTTACGTTTAATTATATCAAAATCAGACCCAATGCTTGAGGTTATATGCAGTTTAATTGCTTACTTAGTACTCCGTGCAAAAGTGACTCAAATTGATTGCCTGCCTGTGGCTGTTGGTCCAAAGTGTTACTGGGAGTAGTGGCATCACACATAAG